GACAAAGATTTGTCCCTGTGGGCAAGGCAGAAAACTCTAGCGACAATATATCTTGATCATATCTGCTCCCTAGCTCTTACCTCCAACTCCATGGGACCCCCAACACATGCCACCCACCAACATCTTTCTTTAATGTCCTATGTTTTAAAAAAGAATTGTCAATATGCAAAAATGTTAACTTTGTGCCATTAAAGAGAAAGAACAAACCCAACCACTGAAATTCTGGAAATTTTTCTCACTGCTATTCCACAAGGGGGTTCACTATGAAAAGAAGGATGAAGTTATGAGGAAATTATTTTCTTTTTTTTTTTCCTAGTACAGTGATGAAGGAGCACACTGCTGCCCTGGCAATTAAACTGGGACAGGCCTTGGTTTTCCTGCTGAGCTCTTTGAAGAGTTAAGCTGGTATCTCATGGCATTTATCTAACTCTAAAGAGAGACGCACCCATCTGTCAGTCAATAACGCTTCATGCTCCACTTCATCAGGGCATGAGGCAAGAATCATGGTTGCCTCGCCTTTACTTCTAGCATGAATACTAATAAGGAGGGATGCAGGTAAATCAAAGAGAATGGAAAAATGAAGCTGGACCCACAAAGTTCTTCTATCTATAAAATAATTACAAATCAAAAAGAAGAACTTCATTCTTTATCAAACATTGGGTACTTACCACCACTGAAAAGAGCATGTACTGTGGTGAGATGTTTATTTTGCTACAATTAATTTTATGTGCAGAAAAAGTGAAAATTATATTTTGAAGAAAATATATCTCAATTTGCAATACTCATGAGTTTGTTACTGCAGTTAACAATCCACCAAGTACCTAGTTATCAGCTGTGATATTAGGCACTGTTAATATTCCCTTTAATTCATTTACATACACATGTGTTCTATAATTCCTCTGTATTATGTGCATTACTTGATCCGCGGCTGTATTTGTTTGTATAACAAGCCAGAATGTAAAATTCTATAAAGAAAATAAATGAATCCGGGATTTGACAAGTTAATTCTCCAGCCCAATTTGCAGAGAAACTTAATGTCCTACATTCAGCCACTCAAATGCCATTTTCCTACTGAGCTGTATACATTTTTTCTGTCTTAGAGACCAAAGGGAAGGCTTTTCTCTTACTACTGTCCCATGAGCTTCTAAATCAAACTTTGAATAAAATTTCAACATTTCCAGGAGGTGTATAAACTTTTGGCTTTTTAAACACATTATTGTTTTTACAGGTAACTGTCAAAGATTATAAGCCATTGAGAACAGGCAGAATTGGCAAGCTTTCTCTTTCCCACTAAGGAAGGTTAAGTGTCTAAAAATACTCACATTGCTGTGGAGTCTTTAAGTTGCCAATTTACAAGGAAGAAGTAGTTTTTCTCCTCCATTATCTTGCAGACAGGCTGAATTTGGGGCCATTTTTAATACAGTATACCAATGAAATAGACTTGGAATTCCTTTCCTATTTTCATAAATTTGAGGCGCCAATAACTCAGAAACTTTACTAAGTCTCAAATTCTTTCTCTTCATTCAATTAAAATTTTATAGACCACCAACTTTCCTTGCTAGTTTGACTGTGACATATGTTGCTGAGCAGTCTCCAGTTTGGAGAAAAACTAGGAATAGAGAATATTTCCCCCAATCTTTTCAATGTTACAGACTGATTTATTTGTATATTTACTTCTACACACAATTCAGCAAAAGAGACACAGCCTGGCAGAGGCACTGAGTTGCTTCCTGTGATTTGTTTTGCTTCCAAGGGAGGGTACCAGTTTGCTGCTGAAGATATGTGCTTCACTGTGTTCCAGTTATGATAGATCACCTGAATCACATCTGAATTCATTAACATGTATACCTTGGAGGTTACTGGGTGGAAATGGAAAAATTAAGAGACTCAAGAATTTTAGCTCAGATCTTTGGGTTGATGGAACTAAAACAACCAGTGTTGAGGAATATATTTTTCTCTTGCTCTTTTGCACTAGGCCAACTTTTCTACTTGGTTAAGTAAAATATGATCACAGCAGTAGTCAAAGTGACCTTCAGTTCTTTGTATGTCTGGGTAAAGCCTTTCTATACCATGCAACAGACAGTGTCACACTATAGTCCCCAAAGACAAAACTGAATCACACTCAGAGGCTTATAATAAGAAAGGATCAAAATCCTTAAAATCTAAACTGCATGAAACTGAATTTGTGAATGGAAATAATACCACAAATTATGAAAAAGTTATTTTAAAATTATTTAGAAGCCATATATTTGGATTTTTCAAAGTAGTTACAATTGGTAAGGACAAAACCAGAAACCAACACTTTCTAGACTATTTTAATTAATAGAATAGTAGTAATATGTATTTTTGTAAGCATATATAGTCTGGTGTGACAATTTTGTAGGTATAATACTTAACTAACAAAGTAACCCATTCATGTTAGGTCAAAACTAAAAGCATATAAATGTATGTCGCTATGGCTAGTAACTGATTGTGCTCATACCTAATAAATGTGGTTATGTGAAATGCAAAGCAGGCAAGCTGTGTTTGAGGCTATCAATCCATATTCCATCCAGGTCTCTGTACATATGTATTGTCCAAAGAGTTCAGATATCCCAATATGTCTTTTTTCATCCATGGAGACACACAAATATGATATCTCTCCATATTTTGAGGATGTTCTTATAAGTGCACAAATGATCAAGGTTTGAGCAATTCGTATCCAGGGGGTCAAATCTGCAAATAAAGCTAAGAACAGAAATGGCTTTCTGAAGTCTGCCTGCAGCTCACACCTCTATTGAAATCAGACTAATGTATAGAAGACAAACCTTTTTGAAAGGAAAACGCTGAAATCTATGCCAGGAAATGGCTCAGCAGGTGAAGGTGCTTGCCATGTAAGCCATGAAATCTGATTGCCATCCTGGAGCCCAAGTTGAAGCAAAAGGAGAGAAGTGACTCACAAAGTTGTCTCTGACCTTACATGTGCCAATGACATCCCTGAACACACAGATCACACATGTGCCCCCACACACACTAGAAAGAGCATCATATTTATATAGACACACTAATTTATTAATAATAAAAATTTTAAGTACCTAACTAAATCTACAAAGTCAACTGCATCCAAGATGGAAAAACAAACAAACAGCAAAAGAGAAACAAAAGTAAATAAACAAATAAATAAAGGAATCTATCTTATAAAAATTTACCCCAAGGATAAGTACAGGCAGTTTAGACCTTAGAAGTCAGCCAACTCTCTTGGTCATTAACTGGTGTGTTATGGAGTCTTATATTATGATACATAATGGTTTTATTTTATTACTTTTAGAGCATGGGTCCTCTTTCAGAAAATAAAAATAAAAATAAACTTAATTTCATTTTCTCCACTGGTATAGAAGCAGGTAATATGTACCAATGTGAGTGTCCCTGATAAGTTGGACGTCTGAGCAGGATTTCTGTCCTGATGAGTAAATGGAAATACAACCAGCATGCACCTGTGTACAGGCACAAGTCTGAATGAAAGAGCCGGTAACAATATCCATCACATGTCTGTCTCTTCCCTGCACACACTATTTTGGGGCAGTCAGCAACTGAGTAGGCATCATCAGGCAAATGTGACTTCAATTAAATATCTTGTAACCTCCCAAGCTAAGACAGCTGTAGAGCCCTGGTCTCCTCCCATATAGAGTAAAGCTGTTGCGGGCTTGCCGACCTTGACCAGATGTCCTCCCTATGCTAATTCCCTGCCAGTATCCACCCTCCTGAATGCTTAAGGGAAGTTCCTTGTTTGTGAATCCTGCATATTGGGCGTTAACAGCTTAGATGCAAGATTGTAGAACGTTCTGTAGTGAACTTCTGCCCTCTGAGGTTCTCCCATTGTGCTGTAAGCCTGTATTTAAGGTTTCCTCCCTCTTTCAATAAACAGCATTGGGCATTCTGCTGTGGCAAATGACTCACTGTCTCTTGTCTCTTATTTTTCGATCCACAGCCCCTCACTAGGATATGGTGAATGGGTGGTGGTAGCGCGGGCGTTATCGCTACAGACAGCACCAGTGAAGACCAAGGAGTCAATTTGAAACTGTCATTTTCATCAGGACTTCTTGTCTGTCAGATCACTTCCCTAGAGTTCCATTGCCAATATCCTTACACTGTCTTCTCCTCGTGGAGACTGGAATTTGGGAGAGCTCAACATCAAGCATCTGACATTTGGGGTTTTTATTTTTAAGACTGTAATTATGAAGAAATTTAGACTTTTGGGATTATAGACATTTGGGGATTTTAATCTCTCAGAGTTTGAGCAACTGGAGTTACATCATCTGAGGTTGAATCTTTTGGGAACAGGACCATGCTTGCCGCAAAGGAGAGAGCCATCTTTTTGAAGCAGCTTAGTGATGCTCTCTCAGCAAGACAGTCCTCATTAGATGGCAGGAAATCTGATTAAAGACTCAGCACCAACCCGTAACTATCAAAGAGAGGGTGGGTCAACAAGACACACGTGGGTAGAGGGGTAGCTGCTAAACCTGGCAGCCTGAGTCAAATCACAGACCAAGGTGATGGGGGATATTCGATCACACTGTAAACCTCAAGTCTGCATTTGCATTAATTAAATAAAATTAACCTTGGGTCAAGAGGCTGCATTGGAAACTAGTTGACAGAAAGTAATCATAGAGCTTCAGAGGGCATCCAGGAGAGATAGAGAGGCACAGGAAGTGGTAGGGTTGGGTGTGGAGTGACACAGCTTTCTGTGGTTTGGCAGAGCGGAAGCACGGGTCTTCCGATGCCAGCAAGAGAGGGTCAGCTAGTTTCTGCTCAGCCTCTCTGAGCTCGCAGGTTTTCACCCCAGCCTTTGAATCTCACGATTCTCATAATTCCAACGATAGAGATTTAGTGAAAGCCACCTTCAGCAGCAGGGGCAGGGCTGCTGCTTGTGGGAACAGAATTCTCACCAGGCTGCTGGCGGAATGGCCAGGCCACCGCTAGATCAGCAGACTTGTACAGTGGACTCGCAGTTGCTGAGACAGCAGTGGCATAAGGCACAGCCACTGTGCCGAAGTGAAACACCACCAGTGATGGAATGGGAGACCTGACTCTAGCAAGTTATCCTCTGAGCTCTGTGAACACCATAGTGAGTGCATGCACTCTCGTGCACATGTGTACACACACACACACATACACAAACACAAATACACAAACATATGAAATGCATGTAAAAGGTTTAGGAAAACCTCCTACTATGGACTGAAACCTGCATCAAAGCATATTATCAAACTATTTTCCGTACTCAAAGCCTGAGTTTAAAATTTCATTGAATCCACTGTAGTCAGGTTTAGAAAAACAACTAGAAAATATTAATTATCCTCAACATAAATATTTCTTTCCATGAAGCTTAAAATTCTTTTCAATTAATTTATTTGAAGAAAGGTATCTGTATTCTTCAATAATTATATATATATATATATATAGAGAGAGAGAGAGATTAAAATTATAGATATATAATTTTAATCTAATTCATTTTCTTGCATAGTAGAGGACATTACAGAGAGAGACAGGTGTGGGAAGATGCACTGGGCACCCTTTCTCCTGGGGGGCTCTGAATACCCAAGACAGAGACAGAGAGTGATGGGATTGTGTGTGAAGAAGTTAGGGCACTAACAACCTATTAAACAAATTTCCTGTGCTGGGTTGAACCCCTCTCTTTTTTAATGATCAGAACAACTGCCAATTAGCTTCAAGTTATCCGATGTACCATAACATTCAACATATCAGAAGGATGGAAAAATGAGATTTTTTGTGTAGACAGGCATTCACATCCCAAAAAATCCTCAGGGCCTACCTGAAGGCTTTGCTTAGCTAAGAGAATAAACTGAGACAGCACATGTGTGCACAGCGGTGTGTTTATTAGAAACTATATTGTTATTAAAGGTGGCTGCATAGACCACATGAAGGAAGGTGGTGATATGGTAGTGCCCTCAACACAAGCCTGGTTGTGTGGCTCCTATTTTCACACCCTCAGCATCACTTCATCAAATCCAGATGCCATCAGCAGCAGAGTGGCTCACTACCAAAGTGAATCAGGAGCACTGAGGAGCACTTCCCAGGCTCTGTGAGCACCCACTTCCAACCCTGGAATTTTTAAACTGAAGACAGGGAGGAGCACACTAGTTATTAATGCTACTTCTCTAAACTTTGAGGATGGTTTGGGTTAACTTATCTACTTTTCCCTTCTGCTTTAATGCATGTGTCATGTCCTATCTTTGGTAGGTCACAAGCTGGATATAATTATGTTGTTCCTTAATCATTTGCTCTGATTTGCATTAAATTGCTTTGAAGATAAATGTATCTCAAATTTGTAATACTAATTAATAATTGTACAGTGATCTTCTGCTTCAAGTCATGTGCTTCATTTCTAAGTTTAGCATATTATACTGTAACATCCTGTGTTCAAAGTGCTTTCTAACACAGATTTAAAGAGGCTAGTGCTTAAGAACTGATAAAGACACCAGCATATTTCAACAAAGACATCTTTGGTAAATGCATTCTTAGCATTTAAGAATTAAGTCCCTGCTGAAATCAGGAATAATCTGGAAGACACATTCAAGGGGCTCTTCCATGCCCAAGCATGGCAAACATAGGCCCAAGCATGGAAAACATCACAGACAGGTTTTGCCTTTTACCCCCTCTCCTCTCCCTTGCTAAAAAACATAACATTCCTGGACCTAGACCGCCAAGGTCTATTCCCTTATTTGACCACTTCTTCCTCCTGAGGCTGACTACCAAGGTCTAGCTATCAAAGTATCAAACAATCAAAAGCCCCTTTTTGGTAACCTTCATTAATATGACCAATCAAAATTCAACAATCACCCCAACACAGGGTTTCCCTTTATAAATTACATTTATAAATTACCTTTTGCCTATGGGCCACATCTGTCTTGTCTCTCTCCAGAGGCAGTCCTTTGTTCGTCCTGGGACAAATGTCCCTTCTCCCTCTCCCTTTCCCCTTTTCTCCCCTCTCTCTTGTGATATGTTTCCTGGCTTTTTCCCTCATCCCTGCCCTCTGTCCCTCTGGAGTAAATAAATGTCTATTGTGCTAAGAACTTGGTCTTGGGGTGTCTTGAGCAGACTCTGAGGTCCCTCTACATGCATGACAAAATTATATGTTTAATAACATTGGATGCAAAAAAATAGTATGTTTCATGTCAACAAAAAAATGACTTATCACTATTAACAATGACTTATTGATATTTTTTTATTTTAGGAGCCATGAAATTTTCTGACAACTTTTTCTGTCTTCTATAGAAATTATTTGTACTTAAGGCATCAGATATATTGTATGTACTTTGATATAAACATAGAAGCATATGGAGTGCTATATAGCTTATTCTCAAAGGTAATCAGATATTGCATAAGCTACATTACAGCAAATACTAGACAAAAGGTATCCATGTGAATTTTGATAGTATTCTCAAGAATATTTATTCTCTACATCACTTAGAAATCTCCCTATTTTTTTTTAAAAAAAACTACAGTCTAGTCTCATGTCCAAATGTTCATTTCATTTTGGAAACCTCAACAATGGATTGAATCCAGCCTTTCTTTCTTTCTTTTCTCTCTCTCTTTCTGTCTTTCTTTCTTCCTTTCTATATCTATCTACCTATCTATCATCTATCTCTCTCTCTCTCTCTCTCTCTCTCTCTCTATCTATCTATCTATCAATCTATCCATCTATCTATATCGCTCTATCAATCTATCATCTGTTCACTTATCTTCCTTGTTTTCTTCCTTCCTTCCTTTTTTGGGAGGGTGTACTTCTCTGAAAAGACCAAACATATGAATACCAGCTCAAAGGCACAGAAAATACATGCAACAAAATCATAGAAGAAAACTTTCTTAACCTAAAGAAGGACATGCCTGTGAAGATACACAAGAAGCTTACAGAACATCAAATAGACTAGACCCCAAGAAAAGGTCCTCTTGCCACATAATAATCAAACCACTAAACACACAGAATAAAGAAAGAATATTAAGAGCTTAAAGGGAAAAAGGCCAAGTAACATGTAAAGGCAGACCCATCAGAATAACACCCAACTTTTCAATGGAGACTAAAAGCCAGAAGGTCCAGGACAGACATTATGCAGACACTAAGAGATCATGGATGCCAGCTCAGATTTCTATACCCAGCAAAACTTTCAGTCACCAGAGATGGAATAAACAATACATTCCATGACAAAACCAGATTTAAGCAATACCTATCCACAAATCCAGCACTACAGAAAGGACTAAAAAGAAAACCCCAACCAAAAGAAGTTAGATCCACCCATGAAAACACAGGCAATAGAGATTCTCACACCAGCAAATCCCAAAGAAACAAATACAGGATTATTAATGGTAATTAACTGAGATGATTTTCACATATCAGAATACTTACCCATTTTACTTGTACTGTTCAACCATTGTCAACAATGTTATTGGAGTTAATGATGCTACCACCATCTAATTTTGGAAATGTTTCACTTTAAACAGAAAGTGTTATGGCTTTAGTAATTTAATTACTAAGTTATGGAATTCAAACTCTTCACTGATTATTTCGATGGAAGCATGGAAGCTCTGTATTATAAACTCCTTTCACCTTTCAGCATTTAGCCATTGTCCTTTTTTTTTTTTTTTTGAGAATATGTCTAGTGCTAACCCGAAGTATTTTGTTATCTAAATTGAATTTCAGTGCCTGGATACACTATCTCTGTTCTGCACCCCCTTTCTGTGTATGCAACGCATATCTGTGTGTCTTCTAGTTTTGTCACTCATGTGGAATATAAACCATTAATGAACTTGTAATGATAGATTTCACTCCATGTTTCTCTACTTCTAACCTGAAAATTCACCATTGTTCCTTTGTCTGTGATTTTCTTATTGTGTATATGTGTGTGTGTGTGTGTGTGTGTGTGTGCGCGCACGCGCACATGCGCGCGCACACACACACACACACACACACACACACACACACACACACACACACACATTCTTTATGTGGTTAGCATTCCCCTGGGAAATTTTTAAATTATTTTCCCTATAACTCAAACCATTGCCATATCTATTGCTGTTACCTTTCATCCCAAGCTATTGAATTTGTTCTGTAAACTGACTTCATAGCAGGCATTGGGGGTCAGCATAGTTTCATTCTGAACCAGCAATTATTCAGAAGACTCCATTGAGCAACTTGTTGTCTATGTCTACCACTTTTCTCTAGGGACATCAGTGTTCAGGGAAGTTTCCGTTTTCTCCTCTGGCTTGCTCCAGACACAGCGTGTCAGCTAGAGGTTAATAGCTGCTGTAATCTTCTTCCCTGGGGGTCTGCTTTGGGCTTGCTCACAGGATAAGGTTGATTTTGTCATCATTCTCTGTGGTGGTCTGCTTCTCTGTGCTTTCTTTAAATTTTTAACCTAGCTCTAAACTTAACTCAGCTGATGGCCAGCTTTAGGCAGCGGGGATGTTGTCATCATGGAGATGGTGGATTGCTTGCTGCTGTCACTAGCAAATGGCTTCTTCACTTCATCTGAACTCAATCCAGTGAAAAGGCCACCATTGTGTAAAACTAGACATTCACCAAAAAGTGGCCAGGTAAGAAAGTATT